GTAATAGTCTTCTAGCCTCTAATTTACTGGCTTTCTTATTGGCTGTTTTATGGAGTCGGTCACTTAGGGTTAATGGCGTGACTGCATACTGCACAGCCGCCTCAGCCTGGGTACTGCCATTACACACCGCATTAATTGCAGACTGAATATGCTCTTGTATAGTAACCATCATAAATTTGGTGGTGCTTGGAGTAATATTGAAGGAATAGTGGTGGTTGGAAATGAGGGTGGTATTGGTTGGAAGTGTCGATCATCATGTCTGGTTGTGGGGTGGTCTGGTTATGGGGTCATGCTTTCTATTCTCTTGTATGAATGCAGTTGCCTGGACTAGTGCCAAGGGTTAGTACTCTAGCCGAGAAGAAAGTGTTGATAATTTCGCCGTGGTGGCGTTGACTCCGTTAAGCGTTATATAAAGTAATTGGCTTGACTCATTCTCGTCCATCTTCCCAATATCTATGAGACCTCTCCCTTGGGTCAGCCTTAAGCCTGTCTATTTTTTCCTAGTCATGATGAGGATAGTGCCGTGGGTGTATTCAGGAAGGTAGCGTCCAAGGTTCCTATCAGGGCTGGATGGACTGGTACTTATAGACTTCGCCGGTTGGCTGAAAAAGACCTGTGTGTCGTCGGCATTGTCGATAATCATAAGCCACCTGCCACAATTCTTTCCCTCTAGCCACGTCTCTACTAGGAGTATATCTATCTTGGGTTATCGTAGCTGGGGACCTGGCATTCTTGTGCGATAAAGGTGTATGACTGGCGGAACCGCTCGGCGTAGCATGAACCCAAAAGACAGACACCTCTGGGCACATCTCTTGAAGCCAATACACATAGGCCGGCGCAATCTGGGTTTTACTATAACCGGCTAGACCAAGCGGTATTTCTGTGATAAATGGAGACCTACCCAACGCCGCCCAAACCATATAGTGCTGCTCTAGGCCGCGGCCTAATGAGTCCTTGGCGCCGGTTATGGCCTAATTATTGTTCAAGGTCAAAATCTCAGATCGCCCAACAGAGTCTAGATTATAGTTAGATGGGACAAGGACTAAATATCTATTAGTATCACCATTAACCATTTTAGGAGATATATATTATAGTACATACACTTTGCATTTGAACTTTGGAATCGACGCCACACCCCTACCGCCCTTTGGGCGAGGCCCCTCAGCCTCTCGCGAGCTTTGTCATACTCGTGGTCCTGCGGTCCAAACTTGACCATATCCGAGTGCGTGCGGGCGACGGCACACACATGCTCAGGGCCATTTTCCCACGGACGGCAATGTGTTGCAGAGGACTTGGTGACTAATGTAACGGTTGGCCCGGTCATTGCCCACTTGCCATCTGTGTTTTGGGCGGCCGTTGGCGACTCAACCGTTTCGTAAAAGCAAACAATCTCCAAGTCGCCCTCGTTCCCTAAAGCCGCGTGGAACTCCCGTTGTTGGATGCTGAGGATCAGTGAATTGATGCGGCTGAGAGAATCGATAAGGCGGCGATTTGGACCATCCCCGACCATCGCAACAGTCTATCTTCCTAAAACAGAGCCATAGAACCCTAGGTCCCTAAAGACTAGAGACTCCTTGTTCTTAGCACTCCAGTCATAATACTATTAGGTTTATATGCTTTGCCAAACCAACTATATATAGCTATTATTCCTCCCCTCATATACTTTATAAGAATCCCAGCCCCTGTATCAGAGTATTTTCTTACCCCTAAATAACTACTTAGGCCAAACGTTAAGGTGCTTGCCTACTATCAAGCGTCAACCACAGCCAACAAACAGCACTTTCTTCTTTATTATAGAGATGCCTCACAGCGAGGTTGCAGCGTTTCCAATATCAGGCGTGGATTTAGAAAGACTGGTATATGGCCATTAGATCCATCCAAGATACTAGATGACCCTGAGGCAGTGATTAGAGATAGTCCCCCTCCCCAGGACCGGCCCCATACTCCCTCTATCACTACAGTGGCCACCCCAGACCTCCTAAACACGCCTAAGAACGCCAAGGATATACAGTAATCATCAAGAAGGTCCACATCATTCAGGAGGTCATGATGATGCGGGCGGGGCAGATAGAGATCGTGGTGGAAGAGAAGAGGGAGTGGGTCTTGACACATCGGTTCTTCGAAACAGGGGCTCTTAGATGTAACTCGCGTTGAAGTGTAAGATATATGAGTGATGGCAGGTGGCTAGAGTGTTTGCTATGTGCTCCCTTGTCTTGCTGGCACCTGAATCTAAGGTCGGTATGCCGCTAACATATCTCCACTTATCTGCCAAAGAAGAATGGCCGGCTGATACTGACCTTGTGGTTTTTTCGCGGCCGTTCAAGATCTGCTTAAGCTCATGGATTGTCCCCAACTTTGGCAACGTAAAGATGACGAGAGTTATACATCGGCCAGGTGAGGATTTTGGTGTCGTTTGGGTATCTCCAGCTTCATTTTCGGGTCGACGATCGAGATGCGCTGTGATCAATTGTAGTGGATGGACATTTCTGTGGCACTTCCGTATGACGAAGGGTCAAAACCCTTCGGTGTTGCTCTTTGTCCTGCATTTGCAAATTGATTAGTTGCAGCTACCTACAGTTATGCATCTTTGCTTTCACGCGAAGCCATTGGGTTGCAGAAGCTGACCAAATATTTGCCAATAGCAAACGCATCATGTGTCTGTGTTGGGCGAGAAAAGATCGGCGGGCCAATTGACGTTTTGGGCCATGTGCTTGTCATGGCGGAGCCAAGCTTTTGCCAGGCCTGCCAAGCTTTTTCGTCTTTTTCTTGAGTCTGGGGAAATAGTGGGGTCATGATGTCACTATTTACAACCCACCTTCCCGCGATCAGTGAGAGCGCGTCGACTCAGTGGCTGGCCTCGTCGTCCCGATGGGTCCTGCCGCATCTTTGGTTGTGTGGTTCAAAACGATTGGCCTGGGATTCGCAGCTCACTTTGTTTCAGGAAGCACTACCGCAGCTTGCATGGCACCGACACTTGTTCCCATGAAATTTCCATCCGAATGGATAACACGGCACCAGAGCTCCTCCTTTTAAGTGCCATTGGGCTCTAGTGACGTCAAAAAGAGCACCATCTCTTCCCGGGAAACCGCTAGGCGATGCGGTGCCTTAAAACCCCTTGCATTCCTTTTTGACCTTTCTTTCCCTTCTCCAGGTCCTCGTCCAAGTCCATCTTCCCTCCTGCCCAACCCGAAATTTTAGTGGTTGCCGCATTGCGGCGCGCCCCCATCGACAAACATCATGGCAATCTTTGGTCGCCGCCGACAAAATGGCGTGGCACCTGTCACGGCCAAGAGTGCCCGTCCCCGGCGCCGATTCGGGTCGTCTGAGCCCTACACCATGATGAGGCGGCCGACCTTTGGTCAGTGGCTCAAGGCGACATGGCTCGACATCCTGACCATGATCTTTCTTGGAGCTGTCGGTCTAGGCGTAAGCTCCCCCTGTCCTTTCCCTTTAACGCAATGCTAACTTGCGCAGGTCTACTTCGCCCACCCGGCGCCCACCCGCTCCTTCGCCGTGACCTTCCCGACCGACGGCGAGGTCGTCTACCCCCAGTTCGCGTACCCGCTGCGCAAGGAAATCATCCCCATCTGGCTGGCCGCCTTGCTCGCCGCTATAATCCCTATCGTAGTGATCCTCTTCATGCAGATCCGCATCCGCTCCTTCTGGGACGTCAACAACGCCATCATCGGCCTGCTTTACAGCCTCATCACCGCCGCCGTCTTCCAGGTCTTCATCAAGTGGCTGATTGGCGGGCTGCGGCCGCACTTTCTCGACGTCTGCAAGCCCGACCTCTCGCGCGTGTCCAACGCGCCGGGCGTCGTCGGTGCCGGCCTAAACGCGGCCGGGTTCAACCAGATCTACTACACGCGCGAGATCTGCACGGGTGACCCCGACGAGATCGACGACTCGCTCGAGAGTATGCCCAGCGGCCACGCGACGGCCGCGTTCGCCGGCTTCATCTTCCTCGCGCTGTACCTGAATGCCAAGCTCAAGGTGTTTTCTAATTACCATCCTGCGATGTGGAAGCTGGCGGCTGTGTATGCGCCGGTGCTCGGCGCGTGTCTGATCAGTGGCGCATTGACGATTGATGAGTTCCATCATTGGTACGACATCGCGGCCGGTGGAGTTATCGGGACAATCATGGCGTTCAGTGCGTACCGCATGACGTATGCGTCGATTTGGGATTGGAGGTGGAACCATATCCCGCTCAACCGCAGCGCGGGGTTCCAGTTTGGTCATGGCGGCGAGGCGGAGCTTGGTGATGCTACCTTTACGAGGCGTGGCGGTTGGGGCAGGGTGAAGAATTCTCATGCCAAAGAGCATCACGGGATTGCTGGTACGCATGGTGTCACGGGCAATGGTAGGGGTGCGCCTGTCGCCCCGGTGGCGGCGCATAGGGGCGTTCGGGGGGATGATTTGGTTTGAGCTGCAGGCTTGGAAGTTGGATGGCTTTGGAACATGATGTGGATGAGCGGGACTTGTAATGATAATGGAACGGTTGTTGGTGGTGGTAGTTGTACGGGCATGAGCAAGCGACGGCGCGGGTTCGTAGTTGGTCTATAGTAAACGAAGCAAGATAGGGGTTGGGGAGGCAAGAAGTTCCAACTTGTAAGGCATCAGTTTTCCTACTGGGAAGTCCAAAAGATTAATAACAAAAAATCCAGCCAAGTAGAATTGAAGGGAAAACGCAGGGAAACTCAACGGTATCGATCCCGCCAAGACATACCGAAGTTTCCTATCAGCAGTCCATGCTCTAGGTGTACAAGTTGATACTGCCCCAAGACCCAAGCGATCTGGACCGTCGAGGTACCTGGGTCCACTGCTTGCCAGCTCGTTTGTCAGCTGGTCTGCTCCTCCCTCGTTGTCGAGTTGTTTGCGCCTGCCAGTTGGCAGTCAACACGCAGGCAGGAACAACAACACCAGACCACCTTCTCAACCCAACGGCTAACCTCTCTTGAAAACTATTTTCTGAAGAAACATTATATAACAACAAGTAAGCAGGCCCTGTGGCGCAATCGAAGCGCATCCGACTCCAGATCGGAAGGTTGTCTGTTCAAGTCAGGCCAGGGTCAGGATCTTATCTTTTGCTCTTTCTTCCCATTTCCCTCTTTTTGCTCCAGCAACCGGGGCTGGCACCTCCTGCCACACAGCGGCCCTGTTTTTACACTTGTCGGCTAACTACTACGCGATGCTACACCAAGGTGGACATGGAAATAGGTGAAAGAGCGCCAATATGATGAATCCGATTTACTATACACATATTAGTTAGTTCTACTACGTTAGTTGTGAATATTCCCTCTATCACCCTACACTATTGTTAGCGCGCAGTATTACAATCCGAGCTTACAAATTCTGGCAGTTGATTAGCTCGCGCGTTGTTGTCGAATTGCCCGAAATCGGGTATGCGGCTTTGCGCGACTGGATGACGCGATCCACCCTACGAATAGCAGCATCACACACCATCACGATCAACACCCGACTGCCACACAACGCCGCGAAATGGCAGCAGCTAGGACTGGAGATTGGCGATAAGAATGCCCAGATCTACCTTATCTCCGCCTTTGTGATCGGAGATTGATTACACGACCTGGAATGGCGTCTTGAGGTTTTTCTGGCGGTGCCGGTTCGGGTCCGCGAGCGCCTCGAGGGAATGCCATTGGCGAGCATGTCCAATCGCCAAGAGTCCGGGGGGCTGTTACGACACTCGAGAAAAGCACGCCATGGCATCGACGGGGCGTCCCGAGTCTATAAAGACGAAGATGCCGTGATGGGGAAACACAAATACAAAGCATCAAGCCTCTCATCACTGCGCAACACACAACATCTAACCCTTGACCTAAACACACTAGAACTGTCACCATGGCTCCCCACGCACAAGAAACCCTCTCGGCTGCCCCCGTCGACGTCGCCCAGCCCGCCCTTGTCTCCAAGCCCCGCCCCGACACGGACCGCCAAGCCCTCTTCCCGAGCGGCATCGACGAGGACGCCGAGGCCGGCAAGAAGGGCCATCCCGCCGCCAAGGTACTTGATCTGAACCCCCCCCCCCCCCCCCCACCCCCAATACATCCACAAACTAACCCCCGCCAGTACCGCCACTACCTCCCAACCTGGGACAAGACGGCGCCTCCCCAGCCGCGCCTCGAGCCCTTTGAGGCCCACGACCCAGGCCTGGACGCCGACACGTCGTACCCAGACCTCCTGCCGGCCTCGGTGACGCGCACCGACCTGACGCCGACCATCGGCTCCGAAGTGCGCGGGATCCAGCTGTCGTCGCTCACGGCCGCCGGCAAGGCGCAGCTCGCGCACCTGGTGGCCTCCCGCAAGGTGGTCGCCTTCCGTGACCAGGACTTTGCCGACCTGCCCGTCGGCGAGGCCGTCGACTTTGCGCGCTTCTTTGGGCCCCTGCACGTCCACCCCACGGCCGGGCTCGCTGAGGAACACCCCGAGGTGCTGGTCGTGCACCGCGGGGCCGGGGATGATAGCGTGGATAAGTTCTTTGCGGGGCGCACGAGTACCGTGCTCTGGCATAGTGATGTGTCGTATGAGGCGCAGACGCCGAGTTTGACTTTCTTGTATGTGCTTGAGAAGCCGGGGGTTGGGGGGGATACCATCTTTGTGGATGCTGTGGAGGGGTATGAGCGGTTGAGCCCGGCGTTCCAGGAGAGGCTGCACGGGCTGAAGGCGGTACATTCAGGCGAAGAGCAGGCCGCGGGTAGCCTGAAGAGGGGCGGTATCGTGAGGCGCGAGGCGGTCAAGAACGAGCACCCCATCGTCCGGACGCACCCGGTGACCGGGGAGAAGGCGTTGTTTGTCAACCCTGGGTGTGAGTATCCCTTGCCCCTTTTTGGGTTCCGGGCTGGACAGAGGCTAACTTTGGCAACAGTCACCCGCGAGATCGTCGGCCTCAAGAAGGAGGAGTCGGATGCGCTGCTCAAGTTCCTCTACGACCACCTCGCCTTCGGCGCCGACTTCCAGGCCCGCGTCCGCTGGGAGCCTGGCACCGTCGTCCTCTGGGACAACCGCGTCACTCAGCACTCGGCCCTGATCGACTGGAAGTCGGGCGAGCGCCGCCACCTCGCACGCATCACGCCCCAGGGCGAGCGTGCGTTTGAGACGCCGTTTGTGGCCAAGTGAGACATAGTTACAGGTAGTAGTGGCGGTTTTCCTTGAGCTCATGTATATACAAAACACACGTTGAACAATAAATATTCCGACCACCCTAGTATTCCCGCCGTGGCTGTTCTCGGATCTTCTATTGTAATTCAAAGTTATCGGAATTGTTGTCCAGCTCTTCATACGCAGAGTCCCCACCCAATGGAATCTGAGTGCTACATCACAACAACCTCCCGACAATGTCGCTGCAACTCCTTTTTCTTTTGCATACAAGACACATACACCATTCACTCCCTCCCCTTCGGCAGATATGCATCCCCCCCAAAGAACCCCTGAGGCAACTCAAACCCCCCCTCCACCTCCCTAACCAAATCTACCGTCGTCCTGACCACATCAAACCCCCAATTAAACCTCGCAAACTCCAACGGTGTCCCTAAGATACCATAATCAGCCTTGCCCCCCCCAGTCAGGAAAAAAGAAAACTCACTCGGCACAACCTCAACAAACCGCCCCGCCTCCCTCTCCACCAACCCGACCTGCTCGCCGGCCGCGTTGCTCAGCACCTGGATCGCACTCGCGCGGTCCCGCCTCGCCCTCTCAAACACGCCCAGCCGCGCGGCGATCCCGCCCGGCGCGGCCCCGCACAGCGCGATCCCCAGCGCGATCCCGTCCTCGATGCTCTGCGCGCCGCCTTGGCCTTGGTCTGCCACGCTGTGTGTCAGCTAACTCAGAAAACGGGAAGGGGGGGGGGGGAGGGGGGCGTACGTGGGAGCATGGGGTGGGCGGCGTCGCCGAGGATGACGAGGTGGGATTTTGTCCAGGTTGGGATTGGGGCGCGGTAGAGGAGGGGCCAGCGTTTTACGTCGGTGGCTTTGCTGCCAGGGGGGTTAGTATAAGGGGGGGATGGGGGAAGAGGGGGGGTTTACTTGAGGATGGAGAGGAGGAGGGGGTGGAAGGAGGGGAAGCTGGCGAGGAGGTGTGCTTTGGAGACCGGGGCGTGCCAGTCTAAATGGGTCAGTAACCTAGGGGGGCTGAGAGGGGAGGGGACGGACCTTCTTGGGTTGCGGATTTGAGGTCGTCGTCGTGGAAGAGGCCGACAAAGTTCCAGACTTGGTTGCTGATGGTGTGTTGGTTAGGGGTTGTGTGGTAAGGGTTAGGTGAAGAGTTAGAGTACTCACTTGCGGCAGGGGTATGACACGAAGCGGTTGCCTGTCTTGCCGTTCATGTAGATGCTCATTCTCCCGTCCCTGGAGTGGTCCTGGTTCCACACGGCGGTCTCGGGGTCGGCGTCGAGGTCGGCGGCGGGAATCAGGAAGCGGTAGCAGCCGTTGTACAACTCCTGCGGCTGCGGCGGATTAGGTTTCCCAAGAACAGATTCTATGCCCAGAGAGTGGATTCCATCGGCGGCGACGACCAGGTCAGCTGCCACGACCTCACCAGTGGACAGGGTGATGGATGGTGTCTCGGGGTCCTGTCTTTGTCAGCGTGAGTCACGGTGTTTTGTCTGAGACGACATCTTGGAAAGTAAAAACCAAGTCCGAGAAAAGCAAGCGCACATAAGCAACAACCAGACTCTTCAGGTGAATAACAGCCGGCTCTCCCACCCCCTTCCCGGTGGCCAACTCCTTGAGCGCCTCGTGCAAATCAACCCGGTGAGCAAAGTAAAACGGCGCGCCGTAAACCTTGGCAACCCAGTCGCCCAGGGGCGTGAAGGAGAGCTGCTCCATGGAGCTGCCAATGCCCGTCACGAGGCTCTGGACCGTGACAAAGCCCGAGGCAGCGGGATCCAGGCCCCAGGCCAGCAGAGCACGGCTCGCGTTGGGCGGCACGTTGATGGCGGCGCCGACCTCGTTGTTGAGCGCCGAGCGCTCGTAGATGCGGACGTGGTGGCCCGCCCGCCGCAGCGAAATGGCGGTGCTGAGGCCCGCGATGCCGGCGCCCACGATGACCACGTCGAGTGCCATGGCTAGTTTGGGCTCGTGTAGAGTGACGGGATTTCAAAAAGCAAACACACAACGTGGCGGCACGGACAAGGCAGATTGCAGAGGTCTCTGCCGTGAGAGATTATGGCGGGATCCGACTCGTGGCAACATGAATGGTCTCCTGAATTCCAAAAGGCCGGTAGACACGAGATAATGCAGCGATGCAGGGGCACGCATGGATGCACTCGACTTGTGGACCTGGTATACACGGCGCCGAAGAAGCGAGACATTAAAGCACACACATCGCAGTCCCATGGTAGCGAACCGGCAAGATATTCGGTCTAGCCAGCTCGGGATAGCTTATAGGGACCGATGGCTAGTCACCAGTGGGCTCGTTCGGGTCGATTATCGCGACATGACGGACGATATTCACAGCAGGGGCCGGGGTCCAATGTCTCAAATGTCTCGAGCGCCAGATGTCACCTACATGTTAGCGCACGCTAAAACTTGCCGCCTTGTATCACGAAGGGACAGCTGTTTCCTGGTTGGCACTTGGGTCGCGCAACGTCGTTTGTGCTTCAGCAAAAACGCGAGCTTCCAGAATTCTTCCGACTCACTGATACATGTAACCACATAGTATTTATTGTATTGTTAGCGTGTTTGAGAAGCCGGTCCCCGGGCACACAGACATGCCACTTCACTTAGCCCCGTCGTCCGGTTTGTTAGTGGCCTCTCTCCGCCGGATCGTCTCTCCCCCGCTTGGCCAATGCGACGCCCCCACTGTTTACTCCCTGTTTGCGCCCCTTTGCTGGGTCCAGGGTCTAGGGGAAGCGATCCCGGCCACACCACGCTGTCGTCCCCTGTCATGCTCGATCTGTCTTGCCATTTTTGTTAGTAGACGGAGACAGCCCGTTACTGCAACCGTTTTGGTGACAACGGCCGCAGGGCAAGGCAAGAGATTGAGCATTTTACCAATATTGATTCGATAGCACCCTGAGCCCCGGCGGCAGTAATTAGAAGGATTTGGCCTTCTTGGG